GTCAGGGCTGTAGACTAGGAAAACAGATTCAGTTACCTTGCCCTACTAGTGAGTCGGTGTCTCAGCGTCCTTTTGATTTGGTCCATTCTGATGTATGGGGTCCGGCTCCCTTCGCTTTGAAAGGGGGCCATCGATACTATATTATTTTCATAGATGATTTCTCTCGTTACACTTGGCTTTATTTTATGACTTCTCGAAGTGAGGTTCTTTCCATCTATAAGCGTTTTGCTGCCATGGTTCACACTCAGTTCTCTTCGCCTATTCGTGTGTTCCGTGCTGACTCCGCTGGCGAGTATATTTCCAAGATGTTGCATGGTGTTCTTGCTGAGCAGGGCACTCTTCCTCAGTTCTCTTGTCCTGGTGCTCATGCTCAGAATGGCGTGGCTGAGCGAAAGCATCGCCGCCTTCTTGAGACGGCTCGTGTGTTGATGATCGCTGCTTCACTTCCACCTCATTTTTGGGCCGAGGCTATATTCACCTCCACCTATCTCATCAACCTTCAGCCGTCCGCTGCTCTCTAGGGTGGCGTTCCTTTCGAGCATCTCTTTGATCGTTCTCCTGATTATTCGACGCTTCGCTTGTTTGGTTGTGTTTGCTATGTTCTTCTTGCCCCTTGGGAATGCACCAAACTGACCGCTCAGTCTGTTGAGTGTGTTTTCTTAGGCTATAGTGATGAGCATAAGGGCTATCGTTGTTGGGATCCTATCGGTTGTCGGATGCGTATTTCTCGGGATGTGACTTTTGATGAGTCTCGTCCCTTCTACCCGCGTCCATCTTCCTCAACCTTTTCTGTGGAGGATATCTCTTTCCTTACTTTTCCCGACACACCTATCACTCCAGTTGAGCCCTTACCTCTGGTCCTGCTCACTCTACTTCTCCACCTCTTGCCGATTTGCCGCCACCATCTCCCACGGTTCCTCACCTCACATGTCACCAGATTTTGTACCTTCATCCCCGGTGATTTCTTCGTCTTCGCCTCCTGATTCTACCTCGGGTATTCCTCCTCGTATTCTTCCATCTTTGCCTCAGTATTACACTCATCGTTCACGTAATGTGGATGTGTCTGCTGATGTGTCGTCCTCCTTGTCTCAGCCTACCTATGGCTTGCGTCCTCGTTCGCTTCCGCCTGTTGATCGCCTTGGTTTTTCAATCGCTGGTGCTGTTGTTCTTGAGCCGACTTCTTATCGTGAGGCTGTTGTTCATCCTGAATGGCAGTTTGCGATGGCAGAGGAGATTGCTGCTCTTGAAGGCACTGGTACATGGGATCTTGTTTCTCTTCCTCCAGGTGTCCGTCCCATCACTTGTAAGTGGGTCTACAAGGTTAAGACTCACTCCGATGGTTCTCTTGAGCGTCACAAAGCTCGTCTTGTGGCTCGTGGTTTTCAGCAGGAGCATGGTCGTGATTATGATGAGACATTTGCTCCTGTGGCCCATATGACCACTATCCGCACACTTCTTGCCATGGCCTCTGCACGCCACTGGTCTATATCTCAGCTTGATGTTAAGAATGCCTTTCTTAACGATGAGCTGCGTGAGGAGGTATACATGCAGCCACCACCTGGGTATTCTGTTCCTGATGGCATGGTATGTCGTCTTCGTCGCTCTCTCTATGGCCTTAAGCAAGCCCCCCGCGCCTGGTTTGAGCGTTTTGCCTCTGTGGTGACTGCCGCTGGTTTTTCAGCGAGTGCTCATGATCCAGCATTGTTTGTCCACCTTTCTCCTCGTGGTCGGACTCTTCTTCTTCTCTATGTTGATGACATGATCATCACTGGCGATGACCCCGAGTATATTGCCTTTGTCAAGGCCCGTCTTAGTGAGCAGTTTCTTATGTCCGATCTTGGACCTCTTCGCTACTTTCTTGGGATTAAAGTCTCTTCTACCTCTGATGGCTTTTTTATATCCCAGGAAAAGTATATACATGATCTTCTTGTTCGTGCTGCTCTTACCGATGAGCGCATTGTTGAGACTCCAATGGAGCTCAATGTTCACCTCCGTGATACTGATGGTGACCCCTTGCCTGATCCGACGCGTTATCATCATCTTGTTGGGAGTCTTGTCTATCTAGCTGTCACTCGTCCGGATATCTCTTATCCTGTTCATATTCTGAGTCAGTTTGTCTCTGCTCCCACTTCGGTTCACTATAGTCACCTCCTTCGTGTTCTCCGATATCTTCGGGGCACGATCTCTCACCGTCTATTCTTTCCTCGCTCCAGTTCTTTGCAGCTTCAGGCCTATTCGGATGCTACGTGGGCTAGTGATCCCTCTGATCGCCGTTCACTTTCTGCTTACTGTGTTTTTCTTGGTGGTTCTCTCATTGCCTGGAAGACGAAGAAACAGACTGCAGTTTCCCGTTCGAGTGCAGAGGCTGAGTTACGAGCTATGGCTCTTTTGACGGCACAGGTGACTTGGTTACGGTGGTTACTTCAGGATTTTGGTGTTTCTGTTACTACACCTACTCCGCTCTTGTCTGACAGTACAGGTGCTATTAGCATTGCGCGCGATCCTGTGAAGCATGAGCTCACCAAGCATATTGGTGTTGATGCTTTCTATGTGCGCGCTGTTGTGCAGGATCAGGTTATTGCTCTTCAGTATGTGCCTTCCGAGTTACAGTTGGCGGATTTTCTGACGAATGCCCAGACTAGAGCGCGGCATGACTTCTATCTCTCCAAACTCAGTGTTGTTAATCCACCATGAGTTTGAGGGGGGTGTTAGA